TGCGTCCCGGCCACCGCCACCGGCCCCGCACCGTGAGCCTCCCCGCAGCCCCCCGCCGCGACACCCTCCGGGACTCCGGCCTTGCCCAGCTGCCTGCCAAGGCCTTGGGGCCAGCCGGGATCCCGAGTGCCTTTGGGGTGACGCTGGCGGGAGGATGATGTGGGGCAGCCGCTGCGGTGGCTGACCGGGGTGGGGGGGTTCTTGAGGTTGTCTGTCCCCATACCGGGGCTGTCTGTCCCCCCGCCCCCCCCAGCAGGGCCGGAGGCCTGGGGGTTTCCCAGAACTCAATCCACACAGCTGAAATGCTGGGCGGTGTGGGAAAAGGGGTTTTTCCCAGGTGGAGGGGGAAGCAGCAGGGTCCTACACTGGCCCCAGGGTTGGCGTCCTTGTTCTCTGACAAAATGACATGGAAAAAGGCTGCGCTCCCCAAAATTCCCTGGCGGTGGCTTGGCAGCAGCCCCCTGCCAAAGTGTCTTCCCCGGCAGGCGGTGGCTGGCCCCTGGCCAGGTGGGACCCTGCCAGCACGGATGCCCGAGGTGAGCAGCCGGGGAATGCCTTAACCCCTACCTGCAGTAGCCTCCCTGCCAAGGCTACCGTGGCCACCGGTCCCTACTGGAGTAGGTTGCCTTATCTCTTATTTTCCGGCAGAAATGGCCTTGATTTCCCTGCCCATCACTCGCATTTTAAGGCCGTCTGCAGGTGCCGGAGCTGATGCACTGCCTGCTTTGGGTGAGGGATGGGAAGAGTTGAGGTCGGAGCTGCCTCTGGATCCCCTGGGACAGTGGAGGGGATCCTGCGGGATCTCAGTCCTGAGGAGCTTCCTGGTGGGAAGGACAAGGTGGTGGATCAGGACTTGGTGCTGGGGTGGAGGAGAGGAGCAGCTCTGCCGCCTGGGGGGGCTGCTGTGGGTGACGTCTCAGCGCGGTTGAATCCTGGCTCTGATCCGTGTGTTCCCTTCCCAGGTGCTGTGCCACTGCCTCGCTCCTGGCTAACCAGCACCAGTTCTTCAGTGGCAAGCTTTATGTCCTTCTCTAGTAGCTAAAGCTGCCAGTTGAAGAACTGTTGAATGTAGCCACTCTCGTCTCATCACCGGGACCCTGGCTGTCAGCCGAACCTGTGCCCTGAGCAACTGGGATGAGCCAGTCCGCAGCGTCCTGTGGATTTGAGGGCTGAGGATGAGCTCGACCAGGATGAAGAAGTCTCCTCGCAGCCTCCAGACGGAGCCTTGGCTGGGGGATTGCCGGGCAGCCCTGCCAGTGGGGCTGTCAAGTGGAGTCCCCCACACCGGTGGGGTGGTACTGAGCTGAGAGATGACTAGAGAAGACCAAAAGAGGCATTAAACTTTCTGTTTTGCTCGATAGTTCAGTTTTAGGAAGTTTGTTGCCTGTGGGGTGCCCAGACCTGCCTGGCAGGAGGGCGGTGGGGGCTGCGGACCCTGCGGGGTGTTGCGAGTGGGGCCACAGCGCCTGAATTCAGTCCCTGTCTGATGCCACGTTGGAGTCTGTGGGTGGAGGGTTGGTTGTTCAGGTCCCCTTGGTTTGTCCCGAGCAAAAGAGGTGACCCAATGCTGGGTGTAGCTTGCTGGACTGACCTGCTGCTGAGCTCAGGAGCAGGATTAGTCCTGCAACATGCCAGGCAGTGGGATGGAGCCAGAGGAGAGGGCTGGCTCCACACCCACACCGCCCTGGTGCGGGTTGGGGCTGGGCCACAGGGAGTGGGTGACTCAGGGCCGAGTCACGCGTGGCCCCAGACGTCTGTTCCGGGAACCACTGTCCTGCAAGGCTGGGCAGCCCCGTCTGCGGCCAGCCCTGGGGCAGAGCTGGGATTCCAGGTATTTGGAGCTGGCAGTGCTGAGAGGGACCCAGGTGATCCTTGCTGGGCTCCTCCATGGTCCAGGCTCTGCCTTGCTGGTGGACAGAAGCAGAAGACTGCCCCAAAGGGGACTTACGAGCTGCTCTCCAAGGATGGAGACCCCCCTGCTTTGCACTGGGTGAGAGGGGAGCTGTATATCCAGCCCTCCTACAGCTCAGTGCAGTGTGAAATGTCTCTGTTTGGACCCAGCCAGGGGTCCTGGAGGTGCCTTTCCCATGGGAATGCCGGGACCACTGCCTCCCAGTCTGCCTTGGTGGCTGGGAAGCAGAGGAGTGTCTGGGCGCTGCTCCTCAGGGCCTGCCAGGAAGAGCATGGCTTGTCCCAGCTCCGAGGGTGGGCAGGGAAGAAGGGGCTTGTGCTGAAATAAGTCTGCACAGTCTCAACTAAATCTGCCTGTCCTGGCTCCAGCCACCCAAGGCAGGGCTGGTACCAAATTTTGGCACCCAGTGATGTGCAGAAAGTGGCATTAAGTGGTGGAAGTGGAGCAGATCTGTTGTCCTGGGGTCTGTCCTTCTTATATAAAGCTGCTCTGCTTGGTGTGTGCTTGCTGATGGCTACAAGAAGCTGAGTTTCTTTGGGGTGGTGGTCACCTGGAGAGAGTGGGGCTGCTGAACCCCCTCGGATCACTCTCTGAGCAGAAAGGACCATGGATGAACACCTCCAGCTTGAGGCAGAGCCAGTGTCTTCCACCGCAGCTGCCCTGCTGCAAGTCCATACAAAATAGCTGGCAGTTGCTCACTGCTCAACAAGTCCTGGAGTGCACCGAGGGGGCAAAAAGTTGTGGGGGTGCGTCTGTGCAGGATGCCTGAGGGCAAGGAGGAGCAGCTCCTGGGCAGTGCTCCCCCTCCCACGCAGCACAGTGCTGTCGAATCTTGATATGGGGGGGAGCTGCATGCTCTGGCCACCAGCATCTCTGCCCTTGTGTGCCTCAGCGTAAGGGGTAACGCTTAGATTTGCTGCTTCCTCCTGTCGTTGTGAAGGACTGACCTGCTCTGCTGGAAACCAGCTCTTTTCCCCAGTAAGACGTGGCTATTTCAGGGCAGAGAGTTGCCCTGAGCAGCAGCACCAAGCCCTTGGGGTGAGGAAATGTAAAATGCCATATTTCAGGTCAAATTCATACGTGAGAAGGTGCCAGAGTGCAAGTTTGTGCTTTTAACGCAAAACCAGCATTGCAGTATCTCACCTGCTGACCAAACAGGCTCGGGCTCTGTCTAGCCTGCATTTAATGTAAAAGCAGAAGGGGTTTAGGCTGATAAAGTAAGCGTCCCTGCGGGAACTTGCCCAGCTCTCGGGGCTTACCCTTCCTCCTGCAAAGCCCCATGTGACCGGTGAGTAAGTGCAGTGTTTCCTGTAGAAAGCAGAGCTTTGCTCACTCTTGCCTTGCAAAAATCTAGTAACTCTTTCCCCTAGCATCGAGGCTGTGGTTCCTGCAGCATCTAGCCACCTCCTCGAAGCAGCCAGCATGGAGGGACACAGCAGGAGAGGAGATGCTGACTGGGGCTGGGATTTCTCTGCTGGAGGCTGGCTGCTGTCAGGGGGTGGGAAGCGCTTGCTGCAGCAGCTAATGCAATATTCAAGACAGCTGTAGCAATGCCAGCAGGTGCTGCTTGCTCAGAGGTCAGATGGCAGCCCTCTGTCCTTAGGGGTAGGGTATTTCGTGCAAGTTCCTGCACACAGACTATATCTAGTTCCCAGCTGGGAGAGCAGCTTGCCTCGGTCACAGCTCCCCTTGCTGGGAAAATGTGCTTTTGCAAAGTAGAAGGTCAGCGTGACCGGTGTGCTGAATGAAAGCTCCCTGCCAACAGCCAGTGAGAAGAGCAGGAGGGGTTAGTGGCTCTGTGAATGTCTGGTTGCTTCTGCCTGCTCAGACCCTCAGCTGAGCTCCATCCAGCACTTAGGCATCCTCCTCGTACCCAGCCCAGCAGATCCCCATGCAGAAGAGAGGGAAAAGCGCTGCTTTGCTTTGCCCCAGCATGCAAGCGAGCAGCCAAGGGCTGTCTGCAAGCACAAAATGCAGGCGCTGGGTTCAGCTTTGCTCATGATTTTATTTCTCTTGTGCCAGGATGGGAAGATGTGGAGCTGTTAACACTTGGTTGACTCTGTGCCCCTCACAGCAGGGCACCTACTGAGCTTGGGTTTCTGCCAACGAAGGTATGTTGCAGATGTCCCAGGCCCTGCAAATGAGAGGTACTGTGGGGATTTGCAGTAACTCATCTTGACTTCACATCTCTTAGTGGACTCTGCTGGCGTGGGGAATGCAGCACAGAGTTGCTCACCAGCTCGGTCAGGTTGTCACTTACTCTGCTTCTTCTTTAGAGATTTGTTTCCCTGAATATAAAACTTCTGCAATCAGAGACACCATGGGGTCACAGTTCAGGCTGGCAGCTGCAGTCACGAAGCCATCCCTGAAAGGGAAAGCGGAAGAATGTAGATCTCTTCAGTGTACATAACTGAGCACGGTAGCATCCCTGTGGCACCCTGGCTAGAGGCCAGCTGTATTTTGGAGGGCTCAGGGCAGGGTGGCTGGTACTGCAGGGTGCACGGGAACGCCTGACACTGCTGGGAGCTGGGCACCGAGCCTGGGAGCAGTGAGGCAGAGGGAGAGGAGACGTGTCTCAGGCTCCCTGCCCAGCTGGTGTCTTCATGGAAGCTCATCCTCTTCTCCTTCCCTGCCCTGCTTTGGTTTTCTCTGAAACCATCTCACTGCTGGTTCAACGGCCAGCAGTTGCCTGTGGTGCGCAGCCGTGGGAGGTGATGTGGAGCCTCTGCGGGAGCTCTGCAGGCCGTAAGGGAGAGGAGACCGTGCCCTATCCCCAGGGTGCTGCTGAGTCGGGGCACAGACTGGCCACGGATTCACTCACCTGATGTAAAAGATCAGGAACTTCTGTTGTTCCAGGCTGCCCTTCACAACAGTGTCTGTGTATCCCTTCCCGCAGCCTGCGAGAGAGAGCGTCGCAGCCTGCTCGGGGAGCCCTGGTACAGCAGCTGCCACCCATCCCACCTCAGTGCCATCACAGGTGGGAGCAGAGGGGACAGTGACTAGCTGCCACAGGGCTGGGGAGCAGGCATGAAGGCCCTGGACAAGCAGAACTGATCCAGAGGTACAAGGCTGCATCATGATCCCAAGCTTTTCCTTGGCTTGGAGAGGGAAATTCTTCCTCCTTCATGACTTCTAAGCCACGGGAGATCATCAAAGAACGAGAGCTCTGGGTAACCTTCAGGCCCAGAGCTCAGAAACAGGGTTCACAAATTTGCCATGGCAGCCAGTCTAAAACCTGAGCTGCTTCAGGTAAACTCTACAACTGCTGTCTTGTTACATCCACCCAGCTGGCGGATGAGCAAATGGGCTAGAAAGCAGTTCAACTGTTCCCAACTCTCTGCCCCCTCCTACCTGCATAGCGGATGGTTTTCCCAACCATTGTGGTCCAGAAGAAGGGAACAGTGTGCAACTCCTTGTCTTTCTTCAGCATGTTTAAGGCAGCAATGTGACCTGTGATGAACCAGCAGAGGAAATATTTTTTTGTAGGTCCTCGAAGAAGTGTCCCCTGCCTCTTGTTATCCTGCTGTCCCTTCTGCCCCATTCCCTCCATGCCCATCTCCAAGGGAAGCTGGAACGCGAGGCAGCTGCACTGTCTCACCATGGGCCTCGGCCACCTGTTGGTGATGGATGCTGGACTGGTCCCCGTTGAGCAGCGCTACAGGAAAGGAGACCACATCTCCCGCAGCGAAAACATTTGGGATGTTGGTTTGCATGCGCTAATGGGATAAAAAGCAATTAGTGCAACGATGAGAGGGAAGGGATTGGGTGTGGACCAGGGATACTCAGTTGGCACTTACCAGATCCACCAGGATGGCACCGCTGTCATCTCTGGCGATGGAGGTGCCCTTCAGAAATGCTGAGTTAGGGAACACCCCTGCAGGGAGAGGAGCAAGGACAAAGCTCTGCAAAGGCAGGGAGGAAACTTGGCCTCGGCCCTACAGCACGCACATGCCCATGGTGCCTGTTCAGCCTGCTTGGAGCAGAGCAGCTCGTGGCAGTGACAAGTGCTTGGGCTGGTTCTGAGCTAATCCAGGGGCAATAAAACCAGGGCCCAGAACAAGGCATGGTCTGAAAATGCAGCAGTGACCTACGGAGCTCAGCAAGTGTGCCAAAGTTATACTGAGAGCGTAAGTAGCTCCTTTCCTCCTGCCAAGTGTTTGCTCATGGGCTGCTGCCTTTCTCCAGGTGCTTGGGGCCAAGAGGACAGGCTGGATGATAACAGAGCGGGAAAGAGACTGCAGGGAACTGTGTCCTGGGAATGAACTGTGATGTTCTGGGCTTGCTGGCTGTTTTCCCCATTCGCAAAGCTGCCTCCCTCTCCCAACTAGGGTCTCTTACCTATTCCCACCACGACCACATCTGCGGGTAGTTTCTCTCCACTGGCAAGAACAGCCTCTGTGACCTAGGAAGCAAGCAGGAATCGTTAACAGAGAGTTAAAAACTCTGTCCTAATTCCTGCAGCCTCCCTGCTGCCTCATTCTTTGCTGTCTTTTTTCTTCCCCACGTTCAGATCACCTTGTTCAACTAACGCTTGTTGCCAGGAATGTATGAGAAAATCACACTGTTGTCCCTGGGATACGAACACATATTGGTGCCATCTGAGCCCAGAGTTGTGCTCAATGAAAATAAATGTGAGGGTCTAGATGTGGGAGAGGAAAGCCTAGATGTAGGCACTGTGCTATACCTCAGTTTGGGTTTTTTTCCCCTAAAATTAGCAGTTCAGGGATCACAATGGCATGACTGACCTTTCCATCCTTTCCTTTCAGCTCACAGAGTTCTGTTTTCATGTAAAACTTCACCCCCCTATTTTGCAGCATCTGAAAAGGAAGAGGAAGCTGGTTTGAGTATTCACTAGGAAATTCCAGGCTGTACTGCTGTAAAAACAGCCATACCCAGCCAAAACCCAGGCAGGCAGCTTAGCTGCTGCTCCAGGCTGCAGAGAGGTTTCATTTGTGTCCCTGGCTGGTGCAGGGTGCCTGGAAGCCTGGCTTTGCTCTGCTGTCCTGGTCAGGACTGATGTGTGAGGTGGGTCTAGGATGAAGCAGGAGGCCTTGGAGACGAAGCTGAGCTGGGAAGTGTGACGCGTGTGTGACGGAGGTTGGGACCAGCTATGTGTGCAGATCTCCTTCAGTGAACTGTGTGTGAGAAAGGTGGCTGGGCACGCAGTGTTATGACTCAGCGTGGGGGCTGATTTCCTGGGCTGTTGCAGGTCACAGCGCTGCTTGGCTAGCATGCGTTCTCCGTCCTAGAAATTAGCACCAGGTTTTCCTAACCTTCATGGCGACACCTCCAACCTGTGGACCCAGTGCATTCTGGAGAGGGAACTCCTTTTTTTCCACCACTGAGATGGCACCAGCCTTGTCTGAGAGGAAGGCAGCTATCTCCATTCCTGCAGGGGAAAGGCATGCCCAAGGTAAGCCTGCTGCAAGCATGAACCTGCACCCTGCTCCTTGGAAATCTTTTCCCCTTCCAGGTGGGGAGAACAAATCTGATGTATTGCCAGTGCTTAACTGCTCTTCTATGCATTTCTGGGCTGAGGTATTTAGCTCCCCCCATTCTTTGCTCTCATGCACTACGGACCTGGATATTAGGAAGTGCAAAGAACAGCTCCTGGTTGTGTACAAAATAACTCCCTTTCTCTGCCTTTACCCCCTCACTTTCCCAATGCTTCTGGGGAATCCAGCTCCTCTGAAGGACAGCGACCTTTTCATAAGGCACATTTCCCTCTGTCCATGTCCAGAAACTGTTTATAGCTCTCAAAATTTCTGGCTATCAGAGGAAAGAGTGAGTGCGTGCTGTGTAACACATATCCCCACCAGCTACAGGGCTCTGGGAAGGAACCCAGCCAGGTAGTGAATGAACATCCCTTCCCCTAGGGCCTCTAGTTAATCTGCAGATGCAGCAGAAGTGGGTTTCAAGGCTATCACTGATGACTTGATACCCACTCCAGCCTGGTACCTATGAATGAAGCTCCTACGATCACCAGATTCTTCCCAGTTGCCAGCTCTAAGATCTTGCTAGAGTCTTCAGGGGTTTGGAGAATGCACACATTCTGCAGGTCTGCACCTGGGACTTTGAGGAAGCTGGAGCTGAAAGAGAGAGAATCCAGATATGTCTCATGATGAGAAATGAAACAGAAAGAATGAGAGGGAAGCACAAACCCATGCAATCTCTTGGCTGTGTCATCCCATCCTGTCCTTTCAGCTCATCTCCTACCACCTCCCTCTCACACACGTCTAGAAAACCTCCACATCCCAATGTTGACCCATCTTGTCCTGTCTAAAATTTTGTGTGTAGTAAATGCTTTGTGCACTCACTGGCTGCCTGTTGCAATGAGCAGCCGATTGTACTTCTGAGAGGACCCGTCCATGAAGCAGACCTTCTGCTTCTGGAAATCCACTGACACTGCCTGCAGGAGAAAGGAGGCAAAGATCAGACATGTACCTCTGGTCCACTGGTGTCCTGCCACATCAATCCGTTCTGCTTGCCTGCAACTGTGTGCCCTCTTCCTGGACACTCACGTGAGATGAGGAATGCTGGGGTCCTCTCTCTCACCTCCTACAGGTCTTAGGCTTTAGGAGCACTAAGTATGACAGCACGAAATCTAGGTTCCTCTAAAGGATGTGCAGAAGGCTAGTTTCAAGGGTCACCCTCTTCACATGTGATGGGCACATCTGTCCATGGGGAGCCCAGATCAGTGTTACATCCAAGGCATGCACACCATCCCTAGCACTGACCTTGGAATGCTGTCCCAGAGGATAATGTGTGTACTTAGGCAGAGCCCTAATGTCTATAAATGTAGCGCTGTGCCTGCAGGTGTGGGCATCCCCTCCCCATGGCAGGAACAGGACCACCCATTGAGGACTGAGCTCAGCTGCTTTTGTACCTCTTTTTCCATCCAGAACTCTATGCCGTGAGCATCAAGGAATTCAGGTTTCCTCAGGTAGATGTCCTCAGCTTTCAAGTTCATTTCCTGGAAACAAAACAGAAATATGAAATAAAGCACTTCTTACAGACAGCAATACTCTTGCAGTGTTTGCCAGGAAGTAAGTTTGCATAAGAGGTAAATTTTGCATTAGTAAATCACAGCTCCCCACACTGCCCCATCTCCATCATCTTCTTGTACTCCCTCAGAAAGACCCATCAACTCAAACTCTAGTTGGAAGAACTCAGTGAAAGGAGATAAAAACATTACCTTATGGTGGACTCTGATCAAAGACTTTCTGGGAGGAAGAAGTGAGATGTTAGCTGGAAATTATACCCTATCAACACTCCTGCTTTGCCAAAATGTCTCACTCAATTGCTCAGTCTGGTCCGGAGTATGGGTCATGTCCCTAATACACACGTGGTACCCAGGCACAGTCCTGGCCTTCTCACGTACGAACCTTGCTCAGTTTGGACTTGTCATATGGAACATGTTTCTCTTTGGTGACCACAATGATCCTGCCAGTAAAGCCCTCTTGGCGAAGTGTCTCTGCACACACCAGAGCAGCCACACCTACAAGAGATGTTCATCTCAGCCCTCTTACACGTCACTATGGAGTAGGAGGAAGAAGGCAAGTCCTCCCCGGAGAAAAGAGTGACAGCTCACAGCATATGTTGGGAAGGGCACAGCAGAGACCACTTCACTGACCTCCCCCCAGAAGCAGCATCGTCTCCCGGTTGAGAAGGCATCGCTTGCTTGTGTCCTTCACCCTCAGGCTGCTTTCAAGATCCTAGAAGAAAACGAGAAATGCTGAAATCATACGTAGTTCAAGGTGCTGCTTGTGCTTAGTCACAGCAGGTAAGGTCAGTACCTTCTTTTTTGCTGTAACAAACACCTTTCCGTCTTCCACTGTTACCTGAAGAGGTGAAAGGAGAGTACATTTAAGTGCTGCATTCATGAGGTTGTGGTAGGAGCTTTCCTAGGAGGTTCTGGTCCAGTGGGCCATCTGTCTCAGATACACCAAGAGTGACTTGTAGGGATCTTGGATGTCAAACAATGCTGAGGAGCTCATGAGCTTTTCTCCTCATCCTAAGAGCACTCAGGAAGAGGTGTAAATCCTTTTTTCTTTCCAAAAGAGCTGTGCTGGCTATGAGGGATACCAGGATGTATGGCATCACCTTTGATTGAATGGAGTTTTAGGATGGGGAGTTACATGATCCCAAGAAACCATCCCATGTGTTGTAGCTCTGCGAGACCTTGACGAGAGAGCTGTGGCCAGGGCAGGGTGCTTTCAGTTGGTGTCAGGGACACAGAGCTTCTGAGAGTGAATGAATGCGAGTGGTATGCAGGACATGGCCCAAGTTGGGAGGAGGAAGAGACAAGAAGTCACCTTAAAGCAGGGAAGACAGTCCAGAGAAGGGTATTCCTCGATGTCTCCAGTTTTGATGTTAAAGCAGGCGCCGTGCCAGGGACAACGCAGCCTCTCCCTTTTCAAGACTCCTGCAATAGAGAAGCCCCCCCACAACCGAGTGAAGAGAGCTGACCGCCCTGATACAGCTTCTCCCCCTTGCCCAGAGCCAGGGTTACCTTTGCTGAGCGGGGCACCGTGGTGGGGGCACTTACTGCCCAGGGCTCTGAACTCCTTCTTGTTCCTCACCAGCAGCACCGGGTAGCCAGCCACCATCACCTCCCAGAGCCTGTGGGAGACGTGGAGAGGTGGGCACCCTGGGGAGCTGAGGCTCAGCCCCTCGCCGCTCCCTCAGCCAACAACATGGTGGCTGCCAACATGGCGGCTGTTGCCATGGTGGTGCCACCCCTGCTGCCTGCAGGCCTCACGGCAGCAGGCCGGGACCGGGTACTCACTCTCCATCCCCAACATCTGCCTCTTTGCAGACCTCGGTGGTGACGGTGTCGTCGCCGTCCATGCCGGTGGCTGTGGGCAAGCAGAGGGAAGGGTCGGCTGACATGGGTGCTGTCGCCCGTAGGCATTGTCTTTCACCCCTCGGCAGACAATCCTCCCCATGCACCCTTGTGCCATCGCTGCAAAATCCCACCCCAAAATACAGGGCCACCGCTGCCCCAGCTGGGAGCAGGTCAGCACCAAGGGGTCCCAAACTCCCAGTACAGCAGGAAAAAAAAAACTCAGCTGGTGGAAAACACACATTTCCCCCCTTTTTTGTGTCCAAACCTAAAGCCTGTTCCTCTTCCCTTTTCTCCTCCGACTTAACCCGCTTTTTGTTTTCAGCCCCGTGTCCCATTAAACTCAACTGCAGCGCAGGGTGAGTGAGCAAATACAACTAATGACCATTGTAAATAAATACAATTATTCATGTCAAGGTGCTGCTGCCATATCCCATGGCTCCCCCAAATCAGGGTCTGAAGAGCTGCTTCAGCCTCTCCGAACTCTCTCCAACATTTGTGCAGAGACGTTATTCACGGTAATTGCCACGAAAGCAGTAATCCCTGCCCAAAACGCCTCCTGGGCTAGAAAAGAGCCAAAAGTCTTGGTCGTTAGCACTGTCCCTGACTTAGCAATCAGCTGAGAGGCTGATTAGAAATCTCCCTCTCTTTTGGAGGAAGAAAGCAAGAAATGGAGCAGAGGAATGTCATTCGAGGCAAGTTTCCATGCAGGGTGGTGACTTGCTCCTGCAAATCCCCACCGCGCCGCTGCCCCGCTCCCAGGTCCTTTAGGAGAAACATCAGCAGGTACTCACCCGATCCCACCGTGGGGGGCTCAGGCACCCGACCCCGGAGTCGGAAAGCCACCAGCGCTGCCGTCTGCGAGTTTCTCCTCTGCAGAGGTGACACCCTCGCGTCTCACTGCAAGTGCTCTCCCTGCCGCCAGCCCACGGCTGGGTGATGCTCTCCCCGACTTGCACAACGTCTCCGTCCTTCAGCAGAGGCATCTCCTGGAAGCGGCTGTCTGCCAGCGAGTCTTATCTGATTTCTGCAACTGGTCTGTGCCTAATTAAGTGTATTTTGCTCAGGTTTAGAATTGCAAAAGAATTAAGGGCACTTAGGAATTACAGCGCAGGTGTGGTCTAAAGACCGGGTGCATTGTGTGCAGTGTGAACAGAAACTTGAGTGGATGCAGTGATATTCTGCTGTGGCTTCCCATTGCCCCTTTTCTTGATGGAAAGCGCTCTAGCTCAGTGCAACGTATTTTTGCAGCGCTCTGGAATGATATTACTATTTTTTATATATTTCAATAACATTTAAAACTATTTAATTTGATCTTTTGCTAAGATCTCTCTCCATTGATTTTAAGGAACATGAAGCGTTCAGCACCTCTGCACGTGCATTACATCCCAGCTCTGCTTCTGGTTCATTCTGCTGATGTCCAGGCACATGGTCTCATCGTCCTTTGGTCCCTGACGGATGTCACCAAGCAGCGTGCTCCCTGCTGTACTATTTTTGGAACAGAGTGGGAGCTGCAAAAAACTGAGAGTAACGCCTACGCTGTTTGCGTCTACTCCAGTTCTTGTCTCTGTTTCGCAGTCAATATATTTCACAACCTTGAAATAATGCCTCAAAATTTAGGGGTGGAAAAGTTACTATCAGTGTGCTTCCATCATCTCCCTTGCAGAACCAGAGCTTTGCATTGACGGGCTTTCTGCCACGCAGCACGTTCCCAAATCCAGTGTGGGGAGGGGAGGATAAAAATCCTTTGGTGGGCATGGCCCAGAGAAGAGACATGCACAGGGATGCTCAGTAAATGCAAGCTGGCTGATGTGTGAAGCAGCTTGCTTTGTCGGACCCTTCAAGCCATGAGTATACTTTCTTTTAGTGCTGGGTGCCGTGGTGCTGCCGTGTAAGGAGTGATCTTAGCCCATGGGCAATGCACGCCCATGATGGGCTCAGGTGTGAGGTATTTTCTCACAGTGCCAACAAGCAGCTTTTGGGCTCTGCCTTCCTGGCCAGGAGCCTGAATATGAAGCAATTTGGCTGCCGAACGTCCCTGTTTAAACTCTCTGTAATTATTCCCCAGAAGCGCATTCCCACGTGGAGAAGCAGCAGCCCTCGCGGAGACGTTCTCTGACTCAGCAGAAATCCCTGAAAAACATTGTTTGCTTATGGATGAAAGCTGCAGCGCGCCGGCAAAGTGGCAGGTACAAAGATGTGCAGCTGTGGGAGGCTTCGGGACGAGCCAGATGGAGCTCGGTCCTGTGCACTGGCATCCACACTGCGGGGCTCAGCAGCTAATTTGGCTGCTGGATGCTGCTGGATGCAGCTGAGCAGCTGGGGAAGGGCTTTTATAAAATGCAAAGGGATAAAAGCAAAACAAAATGCCCATTTCTGATAGGGCCAAAGATAATGGCAAAGGGTAGAAAGTTGAAAAGGGCACTGGATGTAAGAGGAAAGGTTCAGGTTAGCTGCAGGGGTGCTGTGTTGCTGCATCTCTGAGAGCCAGCACCTAGGAACACACAGTATGGCCTCGAGGGATTCAGGCAATGGGATGGTGTTGGAGGCAGATTTTTGGAAAGATGACCTGTAAGCATCTTTTGGCCCTTTGTTAGGTAACCCAGAGATAGATGCTCAGTGTGGCTAAGACCTTTGCTTGTAACACACAGCAGGATTAAACACAGGAAGGAAGAGAGCGAAAAGAAGCAGTGCCCTCAAACGTGAGCGGAGCCCAGGTAGGCATCGGAAATCTCTGACCAGACCTGCTGTCTGCATTGGTGCTGGCTCACAAGAGCTGCTGAGCTGACCTCATATTTTATTAGGTATCTTCACTTTTGCTGTGTCTCTCTAGTGCTGTCAGCACACCAGAAAATTCAAGTTTAGAGGCGAAGATTTAAGGGGGGTAGCTCTCCTCCCTTCAAGTCCCTGCTACTGTCAGCTGGTGTAGCACATTTTTTCATGCCGTAATGCAGCTGTGGCTGTGTGGATGCATCCTTGTCCCACCTTTGCTTGGCCCCAGCTTGCTCAGGTCAGGGTCCTTCCCTGCTCTAGCAGACCTGCCGATTTTAACCGAGCGCTACCCACAGAGCTGAATGTTATTGAAGACTGTTCAGGCACAGGAAGAGGAAGCGAGGTGCAAACTGCAGCAGAGCTAAAATGATTAATGGGACACCGCTCTCAGAACAGCTTGGTTTGTGATATTAATAACGAGAGAATTCAGGAGGGAACCTAACCTGTTCCAAGTTGCAGAGCCGGCAGCAGCAGGAGACGTAGTTAGGAAGCTCCTGTGCTTATTTTCCTAATGCAGGAGGAATCGAGTGGGCTCAGCAACGTGTGGTGCTGCACGGAGTGGGTGTAGGGGCTGAGACGTGCTTCTACCTTGCAGGGCTCATTCTGAACCTGTCTGAATCGCAAAAAAAGCATGTGGTCATAAATACATCATGATGTAACCAGAAAGCAGACAGATATCCATAAAAAATTACTTAAGCTTGAGAATGGTGAACTATACAGGGGAAAAAAATGTTTATCCCACAAGGGAGGAAGACATGGAAAAGGAAATTTTTAGTGGGAATGAATTTGCTTATAGGGTAAGAATAATTATGTGTGCTGTTTCACATTTTCTTCCTAAGCATGCCTGTCTGGTGGTGGTGAGAGATGGGATACAGGCTGGGCAGACACCTGGCCCCACATTTCACTGTTCACCACAAGGAAAGAATGAACTTGAATAACTAATTAGGAACTTACTAATAGCAGCAGATAAACAATTCAGAAAGTAGACAAATTTGGGCCATGTCAGCTACTGAAAGCAGAGGAGAGATATAAGGAACTGCCCATGCTGCTGTGCTTGAAGGGGTTTTGCCCGTCAATGTGTCTGCCCATGGAATTATTTTTTTTATCCTACAGCATATCTGTGCAACTGGGGTGAGAAGGAGAGAGCACGTCCTTTGTGCAACCTGATCATGGCAGCTGGCCCAGCCCAAGCCCCTGAGAGACAACTGAGCCTGCAGCATCCTTAGGGACGCTCTACTGTTGTCACAGGTTTCTCCTACAGGTCCCTTGTGCCAAAACCTGAGAAAAAAAAGACTTCCAGTCCTGGGAAAAAGGAAGAAGGCCAAAAGCAAGAGCATCCAGAGCAATCTGCCATGGGGTTGTTTATTACGTGGGCAAAGCAGGCTCTGCCTGGGTGGCTCTGGCTCTTGGGTAAGGGGGGCATTCCTGCACGCCAGGCTGCAGAAGGCAGCATGCTGTGCCTGGCCAGGCAGCGGCCAGTAGCTGGTACCAGAGCATCCCGGTGCTGTGAAACTCCCAGGAGACGCTGTATTATTCAGGGAATGATCTCAGGAAGGATGACCAACCTGGACAGCAGAACACCTGCAGGGCTGGTCAAAACACTTGGGGGAGGGAAGGGAAGAGTCTTCCCCTCGGGAGGCCGAGCTCACAGGTTTGAGCAGGGTGAATGGATGGGCTGCGGCGCAAAGCCAGATGATTTCCTCTGCCAGATAAGATCAAGTCCTGAGGTCAGTGGTTAAGTGATGCACACTTTGGCATTTCTTGCATTAAATCCTGGAGGGGGGTGAGTGTGTGTGAAATGGAGCTAAGGGCTGGGGAAAAAGGTAGTAAAAACTCTCTGCGCTGTCGGTGCCAGCAGAAACCCTTCTCCTGCTCACCATGCTTGCATGACTAATGTACCTTTGTCCTGTGGCTATGGTGAGTATATCCCCAGGTCCACCTGGAGAATATCCAGCTTCCACATCAGGAAGGTGTTTCTGGCTGGAAGGAGTGGACGCTCTTGTTTGCATTGATTTCATCTCTCTTCACAGCTACCTCTGCAATGCCTGGGTGTGCTTTGCCGTACCCAGCATGCATTTTGCACAGTAGATCCTTTCATAACTCTGGAGTTATAGACTTTCTGAATGAAAATGTGCATATATAGAGTAAAGCATTCCTATATCGTCTGATTTTTTATGACGTAGCAGATAGAGTAGTGACACACTTTAGAGAAGGATGAAGACAACAGCTAATTAAAGTTCGGAAACCAAGCTGCTTGATTTGCTTGAGATCTTGGACTCCTCAAATTATTTTAGGTGTTATCCAGGTCTGGCATAAGATGAGCAGATGGGCTTTATGCCTCCCTGGCTGGAAAACAGCAGATTAAGGGAGCAAGGCTTTCCAAAAACAAGAGCGTGACTTTTGCCAGAAGGACTTTGCCGTGTCAGAAGCTCCCACATGTGTTGGCGAGCCCCCGGCTGTGCTCAGGAGCAGAGTGGTCTCCTCCTTGTGCAAGGGATGGCAGAGCTGCGAAAGTACACCCAAACCCCCATCCAGGAGTAGTGGGGAGCATCTGAGGGAGGACACAGTTTATCTGGCAGAATTCATATGGGGGATTATCAATAAATTGCCAGCTCTTTATTGTGGAGAATGGGTTCTCCCACCCAGAGAGAATGGGTTCTCTCTGCTGCAGAGAAACTCCAACCTGTGAGAGGGAGAAAAAAAACTGTCCAGCTATTGAAAAAAACTGCTGTACACTCCATTTACACCCCTGCTGTGGGATTAGCTGTGGTCCCCACGGCGTTACGGGATGGATGTTAGCACGTCCTTGCTGACATCTGGAAGGAGTTCCCTGCCCTGCTGGGAGCAGGCACCGGCAGCGACCCATCACCAGGCTGAGCTGCCTCCCTGCAAAAAATGAGGTCGTTCGGGGACTGTTGGAAAACTTCTCGAAATTTAGGTGAAAAAGGCAATATCTCCAAATAAGGTGTGAATGAAGAGTCCCATCAGATCGGGCCGCTCTTCCCAGCTCTCCAGCGAGCGTGCAGGGACCTCTGGTGGCAGCTGTGCCCGAGAGCTCCTGTCCCTGCTCTTCTGTACGGCTTCTTTTGGGACAAGTCTGGCCTCCCAGCCTCTGGGACGTGGCTGAATATTTGGCTTAATTTGGTGTCAAGGGACCTGTTTGGAACTGGGCTTGGAAGTCTCCAGCTCTAAAACCATTCCTGCTTAATGCCATTGCTGCAGAGGAAGGGAGAAAAGGAGAAAAAGCTGGAAAAAGTTTGTAAGAAACCACTGTCTGACAGCAAGTCCTGGTAAAATTAAAGTAAAATCTGGGCTGAAAGTATCCAAAAAGTACTATGTATGTAGCTGTTGCTAGTGCTCTAGCAGTGGGATCAAAGCCCCTGAACCAGAATCTCAGTTAATCACGGCTTAAATTCCTCCCTCGCAGAAGTGGCAGGTAAAAGCTCTCCACTGTCCAGAAACATTTTAACTATTCCTGTCCCTGACCCGAGCCTGGCCAAATGTTCCTCTTTAGAAGAATAATACTGTGAATGGAGGAGCCCCTGGGACAAACGGGGCCAGGCTTGCAGGCGTTTCATGGTCTGGGACTTACCTGCAGGCAGGTGAAGGGCAAGGTTGTCACCGCAGAAAGGAGCAGCCGAGATTTCTGAGGCTAAAACACTGCAGACGAGTCCTCATTAGGAATCATCTCTCTGAAATTTTATACTGCAATTAATTGTTAAACGGTTTTTCTCCTCAGTGCCCTGAGCAGCCCGGCATGTCTCCCTTTCCTCGGCATATCTTATACTAAACAGAAATGTCTTTGCATTTGGCCTTCTCAGTAACAGATTAGCGTATGTGATCCTTCAAGCCCTAATACGCAAGATTCTTTATAATCCCCCGAGCAGCCAGGTCTCCTGATTACTTCAGGCAGCGCCTCCCTGCCATTTAACTGCTATGAAATTACATTGTCTTGTCCGGTTTTTAAGCAAATTTTTGCAGCAGGAACAGATGTGTTTCTATAGGTGGGGACTATCTCACTCCTCTCCTTCGAATCTGATTTAATCGCTTCCCTCCTCAGTGTCCCTTCCATCAGTGTATTACTTGTTGATGTTTTAGTGTCCATCACCCCAATCAGGGCAGCAGCTGAGAGCTGAGGCTCCACACGTTTCTGTTTCAGGAAAGAGAAAGTAGAAGAATTCATCCGAAATTAATACCTCAAAGGAAAGGCAGAGTTTGACATTAATCGGTGTGTACATGGTGACTCATCCTGCCTGCAGAAGAGAAGCGAGGTCTGTGCAGCAGCCACGCTTCTGGTGGAGACATCAAAAAGCAACAAGGGAGCGATCAAATTACGGGAAGCTGGAAAAGCAGCATAGTTGTAGGATGGAGCTAAAGAAATTCTGTGTATGGGATCCTGAATTCCCACAAACCCTGGACAGCAGCGCTGGGGTATCCCAGACATCGGGGAGCTCCTTTCGGGACCAGACATGGGACAGAGGGATGAAGGACAACAGTGCTGCGGGCAGAGCATTATTTTTTGGCGAAGCATTCAGAGCTTTTTGCTTGCTCGACATGCAATCAGAGCCGGTGGTGTGTGTCTGGGGGAGTCCTTACCCAGGGTGGGGGACAGCTCTCCGGCACAGAACAACAGTGCAAGATCCTCACTGGCATCACATGCCAGGGACGCTTTGGGGCGAAGGCCCACCGGCCGCAGCACATCCCGGGTGAGTTCCTCAGCCACCCAGTGCCACCCAAGTGGAGGAGGAACCTGAGGGGAACGAGGAAGGTGTCCCCAGCTCTAGCACACTGACAGGACACCCAGGCCCCCGCTCTGTGCCACCCTTACAGCCGGCTTTTGGGGTGACCACCGTTCCTGCCCTGCGATGCCCGGGGAAGGCTGACACACTCGTTTCCCGTTACCCCCCCACCCCGGTCCACTGAGTCACACGCTCCGAGGAGAAGCACTTCCCCTGCGTGTCTGCATCTTCGCGTGGGAGGGGACGAAGGAAATACCAGTGCCAGCCAGCCCACCCGGCCCTTCCCTGCGGGGACGACGCTGGTTATTCCCCCCACAACCCTCCCCCCGCCCGCCCCGGGGCCGCGCATCCCGAGCGGGGCAGGGCGGTGCCGGTGCCCGGGGCGGATCCCGGGGCCGATCGAGGCGGAGCCGTCGAGCAGCCCCGATCGGTGCCCTTATGGGAAACCCTGGGGGAAACTGCGGGCCGGTGGGATGCCCATGGCTTTTAGCCCGGGATTGTTGGTGGTGGCCGGGTCCTTCGCCGCTTTCCGTTTGCTGAACCGGGGATTGGAACGGCTGGTGCCGCCGCCGCCCTCGGCCCGGCGGAACCGCTGGAAGTGGCGGAACATCTGGACGTCGTTAGCCCACAGCGTGCTGAGCGGCGGCGGGGCGCTGGCAGGGTGAGCTGGGGAAGGGGGGGGGACGACGACGACTGGGGGTACTGGAGGGGAATGGGGGCATCGAGGGACCCCGACGGAAGGGGCACGGAGGGAGATTGAGCTTTGCCAGGGGTGGGGGGGGGACACCCTGAGGAGCATTGAGGAGGGTGTAGGTTTGGAAAGTTGGGGGGGCACTGAGAGGTGGAGGAGCACAGGGGGAGCAGGGGATAGGGAGACTCGGAGGGGGGGGGAACAGGAGTTCAGGGGTGACCGTGGGGGGACCAGGGGGATGGGAGGGCTCCGGGGTGGTCAGCAGCACCAGGTGGGCAGCAGGGACACTGGAAGGGAATTGGGGAACCGCTGGTGCTGCCCGGCACTCACAATTGCTCTCCCCGCAGGTTCTGCCTCCACCCCGGGCTGTCCGAGGACCTGGTGGACACGCACCCACCCGGGGCACACAGCCTGGTTGCCGTATCTGTAGGTGAGGTGGGGGGGAGCGGGCTGCCCCCCGTTCTGCCCCTCGGGGGGTCCCCAGGGGCTCATCAGTGCCTGACACCAGCCCCTCGAGCCATGTCATGGGCAGCGATGTCTCAGGCACCCCAGACAATTGCCCTATTCTTGGCAAAGGACAGTGGCTCCTTTCTGTCCCACGGAACCCGCAGCCAGGAGGTACTGGGCACCAGGCTGCCTGCCACCGTCCTCGTGGGGCAGCCAGGGCTTGGAGCATCCCAAAAATGCCCATGATATGGGGTTGATGCAGGTCCCCCCAAAGCCTCGAGCTAAATCTGCCAGTGCGGAGGCCAGGAGCTTTGAGTCCCCTGGCTGCGTGAAGCCTCCCCCCCACCACTTTGTCACCTTCTTGCAGATCTGTCACCAGCCCTGTGGTCAGTGCTAACAGGCTTTCCAGCGTGGCTACAGCTCAGCAAGGAGGTCTGAGTATCTAAAATGCCAGCATGGGGTTGGTTCGGTGGCAGCAAATCCTGCAGCTCTTAAGTGCTCCAGGCTGAAAGAGATCCAGTTCTGGGACAGTAACAAGGGTGAGGGTCCGCATGCTGCCTTTGCTGTCACCCTTCTTCAGGAACAGATCCAAGTGATCAGTTAGTGCCTCTCCCTAGGAGCACATCCTACAGAGTGATTGCAGGAGGGACCCAAACCACACTAATTTCCTTCTCCTGCTGTGTGTGATCCTGCTCTGTGCGTGACTTTCCACACACAAAAGGTTTGGGCTGAGCTGTGGCCATCACTTCCCAGGAGGGGCTGCCCAGCCCAGTCAGGTGCAGACCCTGCTGGGGCAGGGGGGGGTCACTTGGCACAGTCCTTCCTGGCCCCCTTCTTTGCTCATAGCCTCTCTGATGCCAGGTTATTTCCTTGAAGACTTTGTGGACATGTTGTGCAATCAGAAACTTCACCAGTCCTGGGAGCTGCTCTTCCATCACTCTGTGGTGAGTCCAGCGGCCGCTCTCTGAGGGACAGACCCTGGCACTTGTACCAGCAGGGAGGCTGGGGCTGGGGAACACGAGCAGGGCTCGTGCTGTTGCTAGTGTGGGCATTGCTGTCTGTTACAAAATCTGTCTGATTTTTCTGCCTGGGGAGAGAAGCCCAGACAGCAGGGCTTGGAGCTCCTCTTGGTCCTACAGGACTCGTGTACTCTTCAAGGGTCTGCAGAAAGACACCCAAACATGGGGTAGGAAAAAAACCACATGTGTGCACAGAGTAGGGGGGAAGGGGCTGGGCTGGAGGGCTGATCCATAACAGTGTAATGGACCGGCAGTGACCCAGGTGTCCCCACCGGCACAGGCAAGCAGCTCAGCTCCTGCCAGCTCTCGGCCACTTGGAGCATCTGCCTGGAAGGGCTGCACATCCCACCTTCCACTTCCCACTCCCCAGGGTGTTTTCCTCTCATTCGGGTCAGAGCTGTGGCCATGGGGCTGGGGTGGCTGGAGCAGCCGTTGTGCAGAAGGCCCACGCCAGTGGGGCCCTCTGCCTGCTTTGCTGCTGGCTGTGCCCAGCGTGGGTTTCTCTTTGATCGCCTCTGATGTCCGGATGCTGGAGCATTGCGAATGCTGCAGAGCAGGGGGGTAGCACCGCCTGGAGCTGAGCAGCGGAGACACTGTGGGTTACAGGGGAGGCACAGGGGTCTGCACAGCCTGGGGATGGGGGACAGGGACAGTACCAGGACCTACCTGGGTTGAAACAGCGGAGGCGATGGTCAGACTTGCTGTCTCACAGACCCCAGCGAGCCCTGTGGCTCTGCCAGCTGCTGCTCGCAAGTCAAAAGGTCATCTCCACAAGAAAGCTAATTCAGGCCAAGACAGTGACTTAACGAGCAGGGAGCAGATAATCTCATTAAAGAGCCAATACAGAGAACAGCATTAATAGTATAAACTGAAGAAAGGACTGAGTGTGCTGAAGTGCAGGCAGGCAGAGCCTTTCCCCCCGCCTGGCAGGGAGGGTGCGGGGCAGGAATCAGGCCCGCTCTGCCCCTAACAGCCCTGTCCTCTGCTGCAGCACCCAGCAGCCCCACGGTGCTTCAGGCCAGGCTTGGGGCATCCCACGAGGCTCTTTGATGCACCAAAGCTGCTTAATCCCTGCGGCGTGCCTGTTCGGGGGAGAATCCCTGAGCCAGCAGCAACCGTAGTAGCCCTGGGCTACACGTCTCCCTTCCTGCCCCGTTCAGCCGTTCACTGTGTGCGGAAAAACCTGCTGGGCCACAACTAACTGCATTCCCCAGGCCACAAAAGCAGGGTTAGGTCTGGCTGCTCTGTCTCCTCTGACAACCTGGAGTTTATAGAAGTGTTTCCCTCTCCTCCCACAGGAAAAAAGAAACCTGCTCAGGTTTCATGCAACACTGGGGAGGCTTTATCTCATGCCCGAGGCTGCAGCACTGGCTGGAGGCTGCAATGCTGCAAACCTATGTGTGGGGTGATGACCAGCAGTTTGGCACTGGCGTGATAACTGTTTCCACCTTTGCTCCACGCTGCGCCCAAGCATGGAGGGCTCTGGTTTGCAGCAGCTGCGAGCAACCAGCTCCCGGGCTCAGCCTGTCTTCTTTCTCCTTCCCAGGTGATTGTCTGCTTTGGTATTGCAGTGCTGCTCCATCAGTACGTCGGGTTTGCCCTCGTGGCTTTACTGGTGGAGATTAACTCCATCTTCCTCCACCTGCGGCAGATCCTGCTCATGGCCAACCTGGTGCACACCACCTGCTACCGCCTCAACAGCATCATCAACCTGGGCACCTATGTGGTGTTCCGCATCGCCACGCTGGCCTGGATGACTCGCTGGCTCTTCCTCAATCGGGAGAACGTGCCCCCGGCAACGTACGCTGTAGGCACGGTGGGCATGGCAATCATGACGCCCATGAACATCATCCTCTTCTACCGCCTGCTGCGTAGTGACTTCTTCAAGTCCTGCCGGGATATGCAGAGGGAGAAGGAGCAATAGCCCCCTTCCCCGCAGGGTCCGGGCTATAAGCAGCCCCAAGCCCATGGATGAGGACAGCAAAGCGCAGTAGAGCACGAACATGGCTGTTTCAGCACCTTGCGTGGAGGGTCCACACTAACAGAGCATTCAGGCTTTTCTTATGGCTGCAGATCCTGGGCCCTGCAAGAGAAGGTGCTCATGGACCAGGCACTGGGGCTCTGCTCCCCCTGCACCTTTTGATGACGCGGTTGGATGACTGGGAGCTGCTCAGAGAAGCCTCGACAGCTCTCGCAGCTCCTCGAGGCACCGCTGAGATGAGAAGGGAGCAGAAGAGCACCGTTTTCCCACTGCTCTTCTGGACATCCAAACACCACAGTGTGTTTCTAACCCCTTTGGTGCTGCATCCCGCAGCATCCCATCAGCCAGGGGACACTGCACTCAGCCCTGCATTCTCTGTGGCACTTCCCATGGGAGCACCACCAGGCAAGGGAGGCTCCAAGGCTTCACCCTCGAGACCAGGGCCCGTAGAAGCCAAATCCTGCACTCATGAGTCCTCCCCAAGGAGATTGTCCCAGGTGGGTGATGGAGGGAGAGGCTGAGACCTGTCTGGGTGGGATGCTACCTGCTCTGGGGTCCAGGTCGGAGGCAGAGCACTGGGCAGTGGGTGCTGTGGCACTGTGCTCGGGGCCAACTGGCCAACTTCTCCTGACAACTGGAGTTTTTTTCGTGTTGTCTTGTTCCCAGATATGTTAAATGCCCATAAATGGGCATGGGAGAGTGTGAGTTGCTGGCTGGGATGATGCTCTGTGATGGACACTTCCCACAGATGTGAAGTTTTCAGGCATAGGCATCTATTGGGATTTAGGCATCTATTAGGAATGAAAAGTTCTGCTACGGAGCCCAGCGTAACGCTTTTACCCAGCAGCAAGAGCTCTTACTAACACGAGCTTTTAATAAGTGGCTGCAAATGAAATGGCTTGAGGGGAAGGGGCTTAGAGGGAAAAAGGGACTTGGCATCCCAGCCTGCTCCAGGGCTGTCACTGGAAGTACAGTGCTTCTTATCCTATGTCTCCCCACCGCAGAGTAAAAATACACTGTACACTGGCACAGTCTACCTCTCTTGGGATTTCCCCCTCCGCCCTCTCCTTTCTGTAGAGGAAGACGAAGGTTTCTCCTGTTCCTGCTGATGCTCTCCTGCCCTTCTAGGCAAGGGGAGGCTGCGCTTCCCTCGGGGCTGGCAACTGGGAGGCTAAATGGCAGCAGGACGGGTGCCAGCTCCCGCCGTGTCTCTGGCTTTAGCCCTGCTGTACTGAGCCGCTTGCGAGATGCAGGGTTAGGAAAGTGCTGGCTGTGAAATAGGGCAGGCTGCAGGCAGAGCACCCAGCACGTGGCTTCGCTGCTCTCATTCCCGATGCTGGACACCAGCTTGCAGCAATGCTAGGATCCTTGTGGTTCGCTCTGCCTGTCCCTGAAGGCTTCCTCGGACAAGGAATCAGAATTTTTTTTTTTTTACTCCACATTTCCTTTTCCCCACCGATTCCCACACACTGAATTGTTCCCCAGGAGCCCAGCACCATGTATAAAAGCAAGATCATCCCACTCAGGGTTACGTGTACCGGTTTTGAGAAATCCACTGGATCTGTCATGCTTTCTGTGTGGCAAATAACCTTTAACTCAAAATCTCTCATTTGGTTTGGAAAACCAGGGGACAGGCTGAAACAACGTGTTGCTCAGAGTGGGCAGCACTTGTTTCGAGGAGGAAAATAAGGGAGCAGACACATTTCTGCCTGGGCAGGGAAAGACAAGCAATGTGTGTGGGCAGTGGGAGGCTGGGGATGACTCGTGGCCAAAGCTGCTTACATTTCTATTTGTAGAGAGTGCAGGAAAGCTTGCAGGTGCTGGAGATACCTACTCCGTGTTTGGATTTGCTACCTCAAGCAGTGTTTAGGTGCCCGTGTGCCACTCACAGCTCGTAGCTGGAGTGGAGCTGGCAGCCAGGGCTTTCTCTTTGGTTTGACCCATTTGTGCCCAGTTTTTCAGGAGCTGCTCCGCTGATCCCTGCCCTTAACACAGCCTCCGCACCCGCTCAGCAACGCTGGCTCTGTCCTCCAGCCTCTGCCCCCACCAGGGATGTTTCTCAAGGCCTGGATTGTGTTACCACATTCCTGCCATCACGTGGATGTCGCGTACTCCGGGCATGTGGGGTTGAGGGCCCGGGAAGCCTGTTTTGGGAGCCTTTAATCAGACATGATTTTCCCACAGGGCTACGGTGGGATAAGTGGCGGCTTTGCACCTCACTGTGGCCGGGTGCGGGGGCATCCCGATGGAAAATGCCACAGCCTTGGCTTGAAGGGCTTTGGGAAGGGACCTGCCCCTCTAATCCCCCATACAGGGGTTCACGGGACTAGAAGGAGCATCTCCATCAGGGAATTAGTCACCGGGGAGCTACACCCCAGCCTGCCACCCACCTGCACCCCCTTCAGCCCCATCCCACATCCCAAGAGCCAAAATCCCCTCCAGCACAGACCCCTCGCTCCATGGGGACCCCCCCCCACCCTGCTGAAGCCCTAAAGAGAGCGACCGCCCGGCAGCAGGGTGGTCCATGGCAACACATCGACCCCGGTCAACTGCCTAAAGGGAGCCGGACCTTGTGTTTCACTGGGCAAGCACAGAGGGGTGGGGGGGCATCTCTGCTCCCCCAGGGGGGCTGGGAAAGGGGCACCAAGGCAGGGGGTGGATATTTTCTGAGGCATTAAGGGCCATAGTATGGCCGTGGAGGCAGTGCGGGGGGGGGGGGGGGGGGGGGGGCCCCCCCCGGGGGCCTCGGGGGGCGGCTTGTGGC